AATTGACTCCGATGACGACTCCGAAAACGACTCCGTGCAGGTCTCTAGCCTCAGGAGTTCTTGGCAGAGAAAAAGTCTCATCTTTGTTAGAGAATCTTTAGACTCGGTACATCCTTAACCAAGACGCAACGTACTCTGATAAAGATGGGTATTTTCCGCTTCGAAGAACCCTAGAGATTGTAGGAGATTTTTATTGAGAATTGCTCAGCTTGATTTTATCTTTGTTGTACTTTCGATTCGAGAGACTGATCACAAAAATAAAAGGCCGAGTCTCGATAGGTCATGCTCAAAAAATTGAGAAACCTAAAATTTTGACCGAAATTGACCAAGAGTTGGTCTTTTCTCTTGGTGATCGGTCTGTTCAGTTGTATGCTCAGCTAGATGAAAGCAAGCTGAGCACTTCTCAATAACAATCTCGTGGAGTTTCGGAGATTGTTGGACGCGAGAAATCCTCATCTTTATCAGAAAATGTTAAGGCTCGGTAAGTTCCTAGACTGACCGAGACGTGAACATTTTTCTCTCTGATTGGTTTGGCCCGTTGTACGGGCAGTAGGATGAAACTTGGATGAGTAGTTCGCATTAAAAGTCTCAATAAGTCTCGTAGGTTCTTCGCAGAGAAAAATATTAATGTTCGTCAGTGAATCTTCAGTCTCGGTTAGAGGTGTGTCGAGATTGAAGATTCACCGACAAAGATGAGAATATTTTCTACCAAGAATCCCAAAACTGCGAGATTTTTATTCAGAATTGTTCAATTCACAAGGAAAGTTCCCCCAAGTAATCAATTGCTTTTTTTGTAGAAACATACATGACTATATGTAGTTCACTTTGCTGATTTCGAATATTAAGACCTTAGCGGCCCTTAGACCTTTCTAGGCTCTGTGTTATTATTACTCTGGGCCCTCTTCTGATAGGGGTGTTTCTCATCAAATTCAATCTTTAAATAAGTCTATCATGTATCACTAGACAAAAGATCCATGGAATACTCTTTTATAGACACTTCAACCTTAAGTTTCAAATGCTAAGATGGACTGTATGACAGAAAAAGACTAAATTTCCAAAAGCTCCCTTTTGGGGTTAATATTTTTCTCATAATGAAAGGATAAAGAAAAAATTGTATCTTATGTATTGAATTATATAATCTCGCTCAATTCACCAATTGTCTTGGAAGTATGTTCTTACAGTGTCAATATTTTATACATATGTTGAGTAATTAGCATGCGTGTTTTCTATTTCTTCCATTGATATATACTGTACTGAATATATCACAGTTATAATTAATTTGTGAATATATGATAAGAAAACGAAAAGAAACGTCAGATGACAGTTTGTAGTTAATAGATGAGTTGCTTCTCTGCTTTATAGCTTAGTATTTGGAACCTTAAGGTTGAAGTGTCTATAAAAAGGTTTTCCGTGGATAGACTGATTAAAAGATTGAATTTGATGAGAAATACTCCTATCAGAAGAGGGTTAGAGTAATGACGCGGAACCGGGAAAGATATGGAGGCTGCTAAAACCCTGGTATTCAGAATCGGCGCATTGAACTGCATACAGTCATGTTTGTTTCCATGAAAAAGCGATTGATCACTTGGGGAACTTTCCTCGGTAGCCTCTGCTAGCTATGTGTACAATCGGACAGACGGATCACGAAAGTGAAAGGTTAAGTCTCGGTCAGTCCAGTCGAAATTTTAATTTGTTCCATTCTCCGACAGAGACTGCCTAAGACATGATCTTTCACTTTCGTGATTCTTCTTTCAGATTGTACACATAGCTAGCTGAGGCCAAGCTGAGCAACTCTGAATAAAAATCTCGTCGAGTTTTGGGGGTTCTTGGAGGAAAAACATTCCCATCTGTGTTAGTAAATCTTCAGTCTCGGTACATCCTTACCAACATTTATTGATACCAAGGCTGAGACTGACCGAGACCGAGAGTCTCGGTATATCCATCAATAGTAGCGTATACGGAAATGTCACTGCGCGAAAGTATCGGAGTACAAAAGTCTTGCGCATAAGTTTCATGACACGAAAATTGTGATCTTACGGATACTCCATCTTTCAAAATCTATACTGCTATAAGTTTTGGTCTCTGTTCGTCTAAATGAGTGAAGACAGTGTTATGAAATTGAATGTAGATTGTGTTTATTGCATTCTATACATACCCTCCGTAATACTTTGTTGTTTCTGTCCAAGAACTCACATACGATATAATTTCTTTGTAACCAAAGATATATTTTCGGTTGAAATAGCAAAAGAGTATTGATAGAAAGTGAACTATTGCGAACGCTTGTAGTACACCTCGTAAGCCTGATGGAGTATACTCTTCAGCAGTGTTGCCAAGTGCCAAATATACCACACCAAGTACAACATATACCAGTACAATAAATCCGTAACGATTGCAATTGCCTTTACAACCCATGACGTGATTCCCGAACTACTACTCGTTATTTGTTACTGTCTCGGTTCTTATCAATGGGCATGCAAAATAAGTATGTAAAAAGGTTGCGCAGCTTACTTATCAAGACGCAGTCACTGACATTCTTCTATTTGGTCAAAATAGAAATAAAGATCTCTCATCACTCTCACCCACATTGTTATCGGTAGGGCATGTAAAATCTTTCAAAATATAAATTCAAAGCAGCATACGATGTTTTGTCCCTGCTTGAAGGACTCATCAGCTGTCTAAAGAGTATCGACACTAAATTCGTCGAAACATGAGGCTGTGAAGGTGAAGGGTGTGATTAGAATTAGATACCTTGCCACAACAACGGCTGTTGCTGTATTTGAGGTACATGAGGATGTGATTATGTGTGGGTATGGATGTGGGCCTTGGCCTTATCTTAACCCACAATCTATTTACAGCCATACCCACATCCACCCATACCCTCTCGATAGAAGTTTAAAAAATACTTCTTTTCGTGCTCCTCGCAGGATTTTTTAATACTAAAAACCACAGAAATTAAGTTTTAAAACTTTATTCCCTTCTCTGAAAGGGTGGGTGTGGGTGTGGGGTGTGGATGTTAATCAAGAACAAAGACACCCATCCAGACCCCAGATCCTCTTGAGTTAAGTGGGGTGCAGGTGTGGGTGTGGGTGTAGGTGTGGGTGTGG